TGGTCTGAGATTACATGGGCTGGCACTCCATGCTTAGAAAAAACATGGAGTAAGAAGAGTTTGGTGAGTTCTGGGGATGTGATGGTGTTGTGGGTGGGGATGAAGATGGCCTGCTTGGAAAGCTGGTCAACTACTATGAGGATGGCCATGAAGCCAGATGAGGCCAGAAGTTGCTCAATGAAATCCATAGATATGGAATTCCATGGCTTCTCCAGCACTGGAAGTTGCTTGAGGAGACCATAAGGCCAATGGTGGGGAACATTAGCCCAAGCGCAGGCCATGCAAGACGGCATGTAGTCTTTGATGAAGGTCCTGAGGCAAGGCCAGGTGTACTCATGCCAGATGAGTTCTAAAGTGCAGTTTTGGCCAAAGTGGCCAGACAGGGGGTGGTCATGCTTAAGCCACAAGATCCTAAGTTGGAGATCATTTGAGTTCAGCATGTAGATCCTTCCATCAAGCCAAAGGAAACCAGTGTCATCTACTGACCACCAGGGATCAGACATGTTGGACAGGAAGATTTGTGAGACCAGGTCATCTGGCAGTGTGGTCAGGATATCATTGTATAGTTTCTTGATATCCATTAGCACAACTGCTTGTAAGACCAGGTACTCAGGATAGGTTGCACAGAGGGAGACCACTAGTTGCTCCTGGGTGAAGACTGGTCTCAAGTTTTGCAGGTTCACTCAGGCATAGCTGCTATCCCCCTCTTTGGGGTAGATGTCCCATTGTCTAGTTAGGGCATTGGGATTAGCCCTGAGCTTACCAGGTCTGACTCTATTGACCATATTGAACTGAGAGAGGAATTCAGACCAGCAAGCTTGGCATGGGTGAGCACTTTAGAGGTAGAGAAGTACTCTAGGTTCTTATGGTCAGTGACAATGTCAACTGGTGAGGCTGAACCCTTCAGGTAGTGACACCAGGTCTGGAATGCTTCAAGGATGGCAAGCAATTCCTTATCATGGGTATCATAGTTCAACTCCAGGGTGGTTAGAGTTCAGGAGTAGAAGGTGACCATATGTATCTGGCTGTTGCCACAGGTGATAGACAGAATACTGGCAATGGCATAGTCCGATGCATTGGTCTCCACAGTAATGGGGACCCCAGGGATGAAGTGAGTTAAGACCAGCATGGTAGTAAAGGTGGCCTTGAGGTTGTTGAATGGCTGGCAGCACTCCTCAGAGAAGTTCCAAGGAGCCCCCTTGTGGGTAAGCCAAGTCAGTGGTACAATGGTGTCCAAGTAATTGAAAATAAAACAGTGATAGAAGTTTTTGAAGCCAAGGAAGGATTGTATGTCCTTGACCTTGCGAGGCTCAGGCCAATTGCAGATGGTCTGGACTTTTTCATTCGACATCATGAGGCCAGCAGGGGAGAGGTGGACACCGAGGTATTTGACCAAGTCTGAGTGGAACTCACATTTCTCCAGCTTCACATAGAGGCCATGAAGCCAAAGCCAGCAGAGAACTTCTCAGACATGCTGCTTGTGGGACTCCTTATCTCCAGAGTAGATCAGGATGTCATCTAGGTAGATGACTATGCAGACATCCAACATGTCTGTGAAAATGGTATTTATGAAGCATTGGAAGGTAGCTGGGGCATTGGTGAGGCTGAAGGGCATCACTAACCACTTGTAGGAACTGTACTGAGTCCAGAATGTGGTCTTCCATTCATCAATGAGATGGTAGGCATGCTGGAGATGAATCTTGGTATAGATCTTGGCTCAGCTTCATGAGTCTAAGAGGTCAGAGATGAGTGGTAGTGGGTATTGGTCTTTCTTAGTGATTTTGTTCAGGCTGTGGAAGTCTACACAGAGCTGAAGGGATCCATCCTTCTTCTTAACAAAGAGGACTGGCACAGCATAGGGGGAAGAGGTTGGGTGAATGAAACTGGTGGTGAGGTTTTGTTCATCAATGAAAGTCCAGAGTGCTTGGAGCTTGACCTGGGACAGCAAGTAGATGGTGCCTAATGGTGGTGTTGTTCCTTCTTCAAGCTCTATTTTCAGGTCATAATCTCAGTGGGGCAGAAGTGTCAAGGCCTTGGCCTTGCTGAACACATCAGCAAAGTCATGGTACTCCTCTGGGACATTGGGTAAGTCTGGAGGGGATGAGGCTGAGGCCAATCAAGCTCAAACTGAGTCTGAGGGGCAGAGCTGGAGTTGGAACTGGACAGACCATTCCAGTTTGTAGGTGTGCACAAAGGTGGCTGCATTGATTAGGGAAACAAGAGGGGCCTTCAGGGGGGTGCAAGCCAGGGAGTCAGAGACTGGTACAGATGGCACAAGGCTGGGTTGGGCACTAGGACTGGAATCAGGGAGGCCAATGGAAACTGGGCTTACAGGGGGTGTTGCTGGGGTTGGCATTCCTTGTGCAGGAGTTTGGAATGTTAGACTGCCCAATACCCAATCAATCAATGGATTGTAGTGGGTGAGCCAGTCATGTCTGAGGACTATCTTACACTCAGAATCCAATGGGGCTAGATACAGGGTTACTGGTGTGTCATTGCTGGATGCAAAGTGGATATTGACATCTGCTGCTTGGGTTATGGTAAAGGTGGACATTCCATCGAAGAGCTGAAGTCAGATTGGTGAGACCAAGTACAGGATAAAAGAGTGTTGATTAGCAAATTGATTATCTATAAAGCAATGAGTGGAGCTGGAGTCCACTAAAGTACACAGCTGAGGTAAATCATGACTTTCTAATGTGACATAGGGGGTTAATGAATTTGGGCTGGAAAGAGTGGACACATTGAGTCTAGCCTCCAAGTTTGCACAACCAGAGTCAGCACAGCTCCTGGATTGTGTGGAGTCCCAGGAGCTGCTACCTATTTTTTTGTCTTGGGGGTAGAACCTGAGCCCGAGGCTGGTGCAGCCTCAGTGGTGGCCACAGTGTGAGCCTTGGTTCTTCTGGCTTTCTTGGGGCACTTCTCAGTGAAGTGGCCAGGGCCTCTGCAGAACATGCAGAGGTTGCCCTTGATGCAACACTTGCATTCTTCTGGGGTGAGCTTCCCATCCTTCCTGAGTTTGCTAGGCTTGGGCTTGGATGAGTTGCTGTTATTATTGTTGCCTGGCCTTGATGAAGCTGGCTTGGGGAAAGGTCTGGAGTTATTATTGTTGCTGGTCTTGGCTTGATTATTGCTGCTGGAGGTGGGTGAGCCTTGATGCTTACTCACCTGTTGGACTTCTTCTTTGTGCTCCCAATAGTGTGCATCTATTTCCTGGGCAAGATGGCATAGCTTGTGTAGTGTCTGTGGTTTGCCAACCCAACAGACTTCATCCTTGATCTGGTCTGGGAGTCCAGAGTAGAAGTGGTGGTGCAGTGCACCATCACCATAGCCTCGGACTTGCAAGGCAAGCCAATTGAAGTTGACTACATACCTGTTGATGCACTGGTTATCTTTCATGTGTAAGTGGTTGAGCTGGCTCTCAGCATCAGTGACTGGGTCATGGGCGCCAAAGGTAGTTTGTAACTCTAGGATGAACTCCCTCCAGGTGTCCATCCAGAGAAGTTGGTCATTGGGGTCATTGAGTCCAAGCAAGTCCAGCTCAAACCACTCAAGAGCCATGCCCTTGAGGTAAGACTGTGCAAGGATGACTTTGGCATGGTCGGTCCTGAAAGCCCAGGCTTGGTCTTGGAAATTAAGCTTGCACTGGATAAAGAAGGCATGAAGCTTCTTGGGGTCAGTACCATCAAAGGTATTGGGCTCACACAACTTGGTCCTGCTTGAGGACTCAGGACTAGTGTGAGTGTTGTGGGCCAGTAGCTTGATGGCCTTTGTGAGGCTGTCAAAGACTGTGACCATGCATTCAGTGTCCAGGTCTGGGAAGTCCAGTTTGTCCTCCAGATCATTCCCATCCAGATTATCATCACTGGGCCCATTATCACTGGAGCTGTTGCTGAGGTCATCATCATCAGGGTTGTTATTATCATTGTCACCTGGCCCATCATCACCAGGGTCATTTTCAGGGATGGGAGCAGTGGGGTGACATGGGGTGGGAGTATTGGATGTTTGGGCAGAAAAGCCCCTGAAAGGACTAACGGGATCTGGAGAGCACCTAGTGGTCCCTAAGGTAGCTAGTGCTGTCTTGTGACAGGTTCCACTGGCTGAGGCAGAGTCAGGGTTGGTGGCAGAGTGACCACAGGGAGGTTGGAAATGAGTCTTGGTTGCCATGATGTGCTAGACCCACACAAGTGGTGAGTCTGAAATACTGTCAAGTTTGGGTTGTCCAGGTTGAGGCTGGACTGGAGACTGAAGAGGGTGCAAGGCCAAGGGGTTGGGATCAGGAGGAGAGTTGAAGATACAGGGGGGTGGAGTGATTGAACTTAGTGACTGAGATTACAGCACTATTCCCTTGCATGGGTCTCAGTCCAAGTCTGAGGCTGAGGCAGGATTATCAGAGTAACTTTGTTGATTTCAGACTGAAGAGTACAGGCCAGGTATCTACGAGTTTATATACCAGAGACAACTATAGTATGGAGACCAGTAATGCTGGTCTTGCAAAGATTGCTAAGGTGATTGGTAAGACAAATATAAGCAAGGTATGACTAAGGTAACAGAGACTGGGACAGGGCAAACTGGGGACAAGACTGGGCAGAGCTTAACCAAAGTGACATGCACTGCAAAGCAGTGTTCATTGTGCTAGGCCATCTGGAGAAATTGGTGAGGCCATGTCCAGCTGGGGTTGATACATGACTATGACACAACCACAACATAGGAGCATGAATCCTTGTACAGCTGATGGGTGAGTGATGGAAATCTGCATTGACATGGAGGATCAGATTTCACTTCATAATACATACATGACTGCCCGGTGAAAATGAAAGTGCCCTGCCAGAGTTTGTGACACCAATGTTGATGATGACTGCCACTTGTCCAAAAATTGGAAATGTCCACATATTGCTTCAAAAGGTTATACTCCAGCCATCTCCATCACTGCCCTCCAGTCTCCATGTGTTTCTCCAGAACCTGGGGCAGAAATGTTTGATGGGGATCTTTTTTTATTGGATATGATTGATAAGTGGTCCTTATGCGACAATGCAGAGCAAAGATGTGCCTTTACAATTATTACTGAACACATGCTACAGGATGACCTGCAACAGCTGCTTATATTTCTGACAAGAATTGGGGGGTCTGGGAAGAGCCATGTCATCTGGGCAGTTGTTGACACCTTTATGCAGTGAGGCTGGTCCTGCAAGATTCTGTTGAGCATGCCAACTGGAAGTGCTGCTTGTCTTATTGACAGCTTCATGATTCATGCACTCACCCCCATGAATATGTGTTCTTTGGCAAGAGATAATACTAAAAAAAGGCAAATTAGTGATGAGCAGAACATTGATATGGACAAATTACAAGATATCTGGCATGATGTCTCATATTTAGTGTTGGACAAGGTTTTTATGGTATCAGCTGAGTTACTTTCTGATATTGCGAATTGAATCAGTATGGCACAGGCAGGAGAGTGTGCTAAAAAAGACTTACCTTTTGGTGGCATCAATGTAATCTTTGCAGGCGATATGGCACAGCTCCAGCCAGTGAATGGGACTGCTTTGTATTCACATTCAGTAGTCAATAATTTATCTAGATGTACCTTCGAGACTATGAGGGCCCAACAGCGACTATTCAGAGTGTTTCTATGGCAATCATTGACTCACATCATCAGTAAATCACTTTGAGCTGTGGAGCTCTCCACAGTGCTCCACAATACACAGAGTCCCCTAGCTAGGTCCAGGCTGGACAGATGCACCCAACAACACTTTTTGCTATGGCTAGTTGCCTGTTACTATAGAATGGTCACATTGTCATGGAATGTTGTCCAGTATCTTACTTACTATGGATTGCTATGGAACTTTCATGCTTAGATATCACTGTATAAAACTGGCCAGACTGTATTCTCCTTGGGGTGTTGTCCAGTACTCCCATCTCAATGTTTACTTTGCAAACATGTGATCACTCCACAACTAGGAACAGTTCACAGCAGGTATGACAGGAACAGGAGCATTGGCATCAATTGCATACTACGTGTAATGACAGGTATGACAGGACTAGGTATTATGAAATCAATCAAGGACTACCTGAATGTGCTGGTACCTCTCTACATTCGAATCAACTGCTTGCAGTGCAGCCCTGATATGAGGAGTCAGTGTAAGCACATCGGCCACCCCAGTACTTACCATCCTTCCTTCGCCCACTGAGAAAGCTGATCGCACAACCTTGTGCTGTGATAGGGATTACAAAGGATGTTGTTCAGCACCTTCATCATGCCATGGAAAATGGAATTGTAAGCCTTGCCAGAGAATTGAGGCATTGTCTTTCCTGTGCCATTCTTCGCAAATCTGTCCAATACACAATGATACTGTGAGAAAAGTTTGAGTTGCAGCGACTCAGGGTGTAAAATGACTCACCATGGCTGTGACAAGAGCCAGACAGGAAAGGGGAACTGAATTGTTGAAGGACTCAGGATGCTTATCTGTGATTTGATAGGTCCCAGTATAGTAGAATTATATGACAGCTTCCTTGAGGGTGGGGTGAGCAAAATTCCTGGTTTTTCCCTGATAAACCAATCCATTAGTAGTGCAGACAATGAACTGCATGAACATACATTCTCATTGAAACTTTCTTGCAGGAAAAGCAAGTTGTCAAGGAGCTTTGCAGCAGTGGTCTCTATCCATTGTACATGAATCTGTGGTGCAACATCAGAAGGAGGGATAAGGTTGAATGTGGATGGTGTGGTTGCCAGTGTAACCGACTTCAATTCTGAATGCCAGGTAGATATATCACCAAGGAACTACTGGTGGTATGTCAGTAGCTGTAACCGAAAGATGGGACTACTTACAAGGCATGCCATATCTTGCTTGTGGTCAGGGCAGTAACCTATAAAGTTAGGATAACAAGACACATATAAAGCAAAAATATTGTTACTCACCATCTTCAAATTGCACACTGCATTGATTCCACTCAACGATGACAGTGACAAGTGCCTCTGTTACAGAGAGGTTGAGGTTGTGAGATTTCGATGGGAACAGGTTAGAAAGTGCATGTGCAGCCCTGCATTCTCGCTTAGTGTCTTTGAGACAGTCCTTCCATACTGCCTTGTAAAATCTCAGTTGTGAAGGCAATGGGCCCTCATCCTTAGCTTTCTTGGAGTTATAAGGGGCTCTGGCACACTGAGAAACTTCATTGACTGAGTTGTGCACAAGGGTCAGAAGATCACAATTGGGAACAGGATGGCTGTTAGTGTGATGGTGGCATTCAAGAATGTTGATGACAGTGCCACATTGGGAACCCTAAAATAACAATCTGAATAAATAAAGCTAGCAGGAATGGCATTTTCGTACCTCTGGCTGAGCCTTGTCCTTGGATTGTAAGCTTTGCAGAGCCACATTGTCATCCTTGTCATGTGAGTACTGAAACTTGTGGTCAGGGGGTAAGGAATTGTGGTGAATAGGATTGCTTGTCATCATTTCTTGGGAGAAGCCTAACAAAGAATGTTGAGCCAATACCATAATAACCTCTGATGCATACCAGGTTGAGTTGATTGCCTAAGATTCATTGCACCCCATCCAAATGCATTGTCCTCATCTTTGTTGAACTCATTGCTGGAGACCTCACCAGCCTCTATGTCTGATGGGTTATTACTCAAGGACTCTGACTCCTCTTCTGAGGAGCCCTCTGATACAGCTTCTCTGAACTCTTGTGGTGAATGTCAGCAGTTGCCAAAGTTTGTCTTGATGAGAGTGAGCTATCAAGGGAGGGGTCAATACAAGAGTCAGAGACAGTAGCAGGTGGCTGGTGGGGGATAAACTGAGACTGGTAGTTGGGCTGGGGTATTGGCAGACAAGATGTATTACTGGGAACTTGGTCTCCCCAAATCGCAGCAATATAAGGATTATTGAGCACTTGAAGGTCAGGTTCCATCCTGGGAGGCATGATATGACCTGGCTGTTGAGCCAGAACACTGAAACCAACACAATGGGAGTCTGTGGGGCACTGATGGAAGACAGGTGTTGCTACTGCTGTTGAAGACAGAGGGACAGGATTCTGAAATGAACATTGTATATCAGTATGAAAAGACACTCACTGGAGGCATATCAGCTGGGCTAGGACCATTCACAATGGGAGGCGCATAGGGTGGTAGGGTGACATTGGACTTTGCAAGTGGTTAGCTTGATATTTGCAAATAACTAGAACCAACTGTCAGTTTTGCATTCTGGCCAGCACTGTGGCCCCCACCCTTTTTCTGCAGAGTGGGTGGAGGTGCAAGAGGATTTACAACAGAATTGTTGGGGAGATCCATTGACTTTCATGGTCGTGTAGCTCGGCCTTCAAGGGCAGTACCAATCCACTCCAATTGCTCAGCCCTTCCACCTGAACCTGCCCCTGCCCTTCTGCTATGATGGAGTCCCACTGTGGCAACAGACTGAGACTCTTTGAGATCAATGGGTGGGCTTCCTAGACAGTTGTTTTTTGTGGGTCAAGTGCTTCTGTCAGCCTCTGGTCATCATTTGGCTTTTTTGCCATCCTTCTTTTTCAGTGGGATTGTTCCAGATTGGGTGGACATCTGAAGGTACAAGCAGTTAAACAGAGAACATTATGAAATGGAAGCCTGGGGACCATGATGAAATGACATCTTGTGAATCCATATAAACATTGACAGGTTCATCACAAGACATAAAATGAAATGATGCATGGAGACAGTTACCTGCTGCAAATGAATTGAAACACTTTACATGTAATGTACAGAACATGAACTAAACATAAAATTCATGCTAAGACTACATGCCTTTGAAGTATTTATTGGGTATAGGAGGGTTATCCATGCTCATTACCTCTTCACAAAGGTGTTTAGAAGACATAATTGCTGAAGACATGACATCCATATCATTCTCCTGACTTGGACACATGCTTGAATTAAGTGCTTTGTGCTGGGCAATGATCTGCTGGAATGCATTCATCATCTCTGGTGGTTTCTCATATGGCATGCTGGCCAAGAAATGATCAAAAAGGGAGATAACATCAGAGAACTGCACTGCAGTTCCACTCAGCAGGGACCACCCAAGCAATATGAGCCACTTGTTAGCCAGAGGGATTAGATCTTGAAAATATTGCAAGACCTCAGAATCCAGCCTTGATTTGGATGGGCCATTAAGGAATGTGAACTTGGCACATCTGGCAATTTCGAGATCTTTGGCCACCTTTTCACTCCACAAGCCAAGCAGTGTCTTTTCATGGCTGATATCTTGATGCTCATGGTCAAGTGGTCCATCATAAAGGATGAGGATCCAGATGAAAATGTAGAATAGGGATTTGATATCATCCACAAATGTATGGTGTATAGTAGTAGGGTGATCAATGAATACGTGGGTGAGAGAGGCACTTTTCCAGATTGATGGGACATTAGTCTTTCCACTTTTAGTGATGGCTTCCTTGAGTTGGCAAAGGATATTGACTGAAAGGAAGGGGACTGTCCCCTTTGCATACCATCAGCTTCGAGTTCCAAAATGTTTTGTGTAGTACTTACTGTGCTGCCCAAGTCATATTCCCCCTGTAACATGACCTGTACAGCAAATTCCCAGTCAAGGAGAAAGCTGTGTGACCCATTTGCAAAGTCCTCAATCATTGTATTGTTGATGCTACAATCTCGATGGAGGACACCCCTCTCGAGAGCCTGCTGTTGGACTGTTAATGCAATTAGTATTGATTTTACAAGTGGAAGAGGATATGTACTTCATAAAATATCTTGGATGCATGAAATGAGTTCCTTTTTTGTCTTGAACATTACCATTGGCCTTGCACATAGCTTCATAGCCAATCACATGTGAGTTCTCCAAGACTTCATGCACAATCGCCACTTCTCATCATGATATCATTCAGTTTTATCAACAATGCCCAGCTTGACCTCAATGACCCAGTAGTGTTGCAACTTGGGAACTCTGTTGATGTCCTGGACCAGCTTCATCATGTTGACTTCATGCAGGGCTGTCCTCTGCTCTGACTCCTCCACCCAATAATCCTTGATGACATAGTATTCCCCATCGTAGTGTGTGAGGTAACAAACAGTACCCCTTCCTAGAAAGCCTGTGCTCAAGAATAATACATCGAGCACCTTGTAGAAGGTCTTGTTTACTTGGATCCTTGTGATTGCTGGGATGTGTTTGGGTGATGCAGGAGTCAGGAGTGAGTTTGCACTGGGGAGGATGCCCAACTCCAAGTGAGGAGAAGGCATTGCAGGAGAGGAGAAAGGGGAGAGAGGTATTGCAAGTGCTGTGCATTTGCAGCTGTGTGCAGGATGGGGGGATATCTCTATGGTTGAATTGAAGCCAAGGGTTGAGCGGGAGCTGAATGCAATGGCACATACAATGTATATGAAGACTTCTGCATCAGTGTGGATATTGATAGAGGGTGAGATTGCACCACCAGAGTGGCCATAAAAGTGAAGTCAAAGAAGTTTGCTATCAGTAATTGATAATCCAAGGACATAGTGCCTCCAGGGCTGGTCAATGAGGGTTAGATATGCCTTGGTGTCCATCATCTTCCCAAGGTGGGATGCTGGCTTGAAAGACTCCTTTGAGTACTCAGTGATGACTTTGGGACTTAACCACATAATCTCATCAAGGGATACTGGGGTGTTATTGACAAGGATGAGGTTGGGCTTTCAGGAATAACCTGTAGAACCTCACAAGCTGGTTCTGCTCCAGTCTGCCATCCATTGATGCTGGGGTTTGCTGGATAGACTGGGCATTGTGGATTTGGCAGTGGTTCCAATAGCATTGAGAAACAGAGCAACTTGCTTTTCAAAGCAGAGCTTTTCCAATTCTACTGGCAGCTCTGAGGCAAGTGGCCCAGGTTGCTTAGGGAGGTGAATCAGAGCCTGGGGGTGGACGAAGCTCCCAGTTCCAGTGCTTTCTATTGTCATCATATAGGCTGACCAGGCTGTCCTCTGACAAGCCACCCTGGTTGAAGGAGGCAGAATAGCTACAGACACATGTGGGAATTGTTTTCAGAGGGACAATCAGGGACCTGGGAGCTATGGAGGTAAATGTATCTCTGAAGGACTTCGAAGATAATATTTGTAACATAACTGAGGCTCTGAGGAGAGCTAACTTGTATCCATGGTTCACAAATGATGTGCATGGGGTGTTTGGTTGGCTGAAAAGGAGTAATCTCCATTGAGCGCCAGCACAGCCTGCCAGGGAGTAACTCAGCCAGCACACAAAGTGCTCTGGCTGTACAAAAGGAAATATTTAGTAGCTGTATCTGGTGCATGTCAATAATGATCTTCGGAGAGAATAGGGACAGGCTTATGATTGACAATGACAAGAAAGAGTCTATAGCTCTCATGCTCAGGCCTGAATGAAGTAACCATGATGCCAGCTCCCATTCATTGTGAGAGTTGAAGGGGTAGTACAGATTTGATGCCTGTAGGTTGCTGAACTGGTCACTGTTAAATTTGTCCATAAATGTTGGGCCAAGTCCAAACATTTTAACTGTGCCCTCGAAGTTGTCTGTGGTTGGCCCCCACATGTGTCAAATGCCATATAAACAAAATCTGGGTAATCATGACTTGCATAGTCATTGGGGTCAGTGCTCATTGGGACATCTTTGAAGTGTGTTGGGTGTTGAGAGTTACAAATGTTCAAGCTCAAAGGTTGGAGAGACTTGTGAAGGCAGACTAAGTTATTGACCCAGGTATTGCACCCAGAGGACAGCTGGCTCATGTGCATTGCAACAGTGCTGTGACTCTGGAAGCCACCTTTACTGCAACTTGGACAGCAGGGCATACTCTAGATGGTCAGGCAGGCCAATTCTGTGTTATGTGATTATCACTTCAGTGCAAATCAGGACATTGTTCAGATTGCTATGGAGTGTATTTCTCATATACTACCCAATCACATCCCACTTGTGAACATAGTCACTCATGTCTGTTTATAACCTCAATCACATGCACCTTCATGCTGGATTGACCATGCCCATGGTCGAGCATTGCCTGGGTGGCAAAGGACTGCCCCATAAGCCTCATGATGGTGGGTTCTCTTCCTGCAACAGTCCCTCTAGCAGTGCTGAGGTCAAAGTGGAGACAACTGGTGTCTTAGCTGAGATGTATGGAATATTGGAGTCATCCACTCACACAGTAAGTTCTTTTTTTCCTACCTAATAACCACTCATTGATAGGTTTTCAATCTGCAGCATGAATCAAAGAGTCAGCTGAATCACAAGGCACTTCTCCTTCTCGATGTAGGCACACACACAACATGTGAAGTCTTTCATGTGGAACAAGCTCTGGCTGCATGCATCGCCCACAAATATGAATCGATGGCCAAGTTGTACAAGTACAAGGCAGGCAGCAGTGAGGTGAGAGTCCATGAAAAAGATATGGAGGTTGGCTCATTACATGTAGCAATGAAAAAATGCAGGACTGGAGGAGCCTATTTTCGACATGTTAGTGTTCTGGCCAGTGAGCTGCAGCCATCTCTTGAGTCTGATGGTATGCTATGCTTCGCTCTTTTCTTTTGGGCCACTATTTTACTTATGCCAGATCTTGATAGGCACAGTTATTGAGCATGCTGGTAGTTCAAATACTTGCCATTCAGTCTAGACTAGTACTATCTGTTACTTTCCTGTACTTATCAAAAAATGCTGTATGTTATGTCTGTGTGTTGTTGCCTTCATGCATAGGAACAAAGTTAGATCTACCAAGTTCTCTACTACAGTGGGAATCTAGGTTGCTGTATTAGTTAGGTGTGTCTGTTCCCTTGTATGCTAGGTAGCTATTGGTCTTTGGATTGCTGGTATCACTGGTGTGGCTTACTCAGGTGCTATGAGTCGCTTGGATGCTGGCCACTACTTTGGGCAAGTCTGGTGTAGTCTACTCTGGCACTATGAGTTGCTAGGATGCTTGACATTGCTTTGGACTAATATGGAATTGTGCAAATACTATGGGCAGCTATGAGTTACTAACACATTTTTGTGTTTTGCTGATGATGGTTCAACTTGTTCAAAATGAATGCACCTAAGCTGATCCAACCTTTGTTGAGATGCTTGGGCACTTAAGATTAGGTTTGGCCACTACTACATCATCTCCCCCTCCATCTGATTGGCAGCACCTTCAGCTAAGATTACTTCCAGAATTAGACAGGAATCACAAGGAAGAGTTTCTGCAGTTTTCAGATGCCCCAATTGTCTTCAGGGAACAGTGATTACACAACCATTGGAATGAGGAAATGGCAAAGTCATTTGCTCACACAAATGGTCTGTCATTTCAGTATTATTATGCAGAACACTTCTGTGACACACAATGCCTTACTGGTGAGGAAGACAATCGTTTGGCCCTAGTATGTACAAAGGAATTGAAAGACTACCTCAGACATCTTCCTATGTTCCCTGGCATGCTGGTACTTGTCACAGAAAACCTTTCAGTCACTAGAAAGGTTGTCAATGGTGCATGTGGCACAGTATGTGATATTGTTTTTGGCACTGTACAAGACAAATGCATCATCAGCTGCATATACATCACTATACCTGCATCTACTCTAGAATTACCTGGAGAAGATGCACATATTGTTGCTGTGTTCCCTCAACTGAGTATGTTCTCCTATTTCTCAGAACATGCAGGAAAATTTTGCATCACCTGTCAACAGGTTCCTATGGTCCCTGGTTGGGCATTTACTGATTACAAGGCACAGGGAACAACTCTCGACAAAGTCATCATTGATTTAGCCAGTGCTAGAGATGTACAGCATGCCTATGTTATGTTATCCCAGGCATGTTCCCTGACAGGTCTTGCCATCTTATGATCATTTTCACCCCAACAGGCGCTTGGCCACCTGCAACATGATCTCTGGAATGAGCTGGAGCACCTCACAAATCCAGGCTCTGCTACAATGGCTGCTTATACTGAATGACATATCCAAACCACTCTGATGTTGTCATTGACATCATGTTAGTTTTTTTTTTCACATCCAACCTCATGCCTCATCTCCTATTCCTTTGAACGAACATGGCACTGTGACCTCTGATTTATAATTCACAGTATGATTGGATAATGTTTCCATAACTCTCCCCTCTCCATCATGTCTTTCTTACCATCCCCTGGTCACTTACTTGGCACTGACCTATGGCCTGGTGACTTGCAGACCATCATCCAGAATTGTGTATCTGTACACCAACTCCAGCAGTGGGAATGTTTCCCAACCTCCCTTTGCCACATGATTGAATGGGTAACAGTTGCCCAGCACCTGACCACACCTGACCAAAGATGCTCACACTTACTTGTCTACAAGACCTTGCCTATCCCAGAGCCATGTGATGCATTGTACCCTGTGTCTGTGTGCATCTATGGATTCCTGGACAAATTTTGTGACAGTGATTTCAGGAATTGGAATGGGTGAGCATTTATGTTATGCTGCACTCACACGTTTCCCCTTTTTAGACTCTGTACTGTACTGCCACTCATCACACTTTCGAGTGACAATGTTCTGCTGCCTGCAAGCCACCCATGTACATGGCTGGACTTGCATTCCATATGTTTCCTTTTGTGTTCTACCCCTGTTTACCCCACAATGTACTATAACTGGACTATGTCCATTTGCCCTTCCCTCCATGATCCGCTGGTGGCCCTGATCCATATGTACCCCCATACCTGTCTACCCCTGTACATCATACACACAGTTACCCTTCCTTCATCATATGTTTGCCCCCAGTTCCCTCCACTCTGCAGACTTGGTTTTATGTGCAGGCATGCTGCACATGATGCATTGTGACTTGACAATGCCTTAGCAGGAACTTGGGTACATGTATAAACATTTTCAAATGTTTGATTCATAGGTACTTTACATATGTATATAAACCCACATGTATTGTACTGCTCCCTCATTTGAAATCTACTTTACAACCACCCTTAGCTCTGCTTGCTGTACCCATGAGGACTCAACAGTATGACTTTGGTTGGCCAAGATTAGTGCTCCACTGCTAGTGAAGTTAAACTATGTGTCACTTCTCACACAGTCAAGTGCTTGTGCTCCCAAACTCAATTCATGATGTGATATGAGTTGTCAGCATAACAGAAGATTTCGAATCACCCAGCCACATCAAAGACTGGACTATCTCTCAGATACCTGTGCTCTAGAATCCTTGCTAGGCAAAATAGCCTACAAAATGAGCACCTCCTGCCACTTCACAGGAACTGCTGGTGTTAAGCATCAGTGAGCTAGCCCCTAACTTTTGGCACTAACCTTCCTCTTCATCAACATGTCTTCATGCCAAGAAGAAGGAAGTAAGAGGCCTCCATCAGCAGCCTCTTCATTCAAACCCCCCATACCTTCTCATAAAGGGAAAGAAGTCCTCCCAGCAAGGCCCCTTATTTGTCACCCTTCAGTGCAAACACAAAACCCACACATAGGTCTTGAAGACCTGCCAGTAAGGCCCCAACTTGGGCAAGTGGCAGAATCAACTTCACCAATTGACTTTACTACTTACTGAAACCTGAAGCCAGTAGGCTCAGACATTGATACACAACCACAAGGGATAGCTGAACCAGTGGACCCCTCATCCCCATTGACCACTGACATTCATCTACCAACTTCTACCAATCCAATGGCAGAAGAACTTGCCCAATGAACTTCTGAACTTAATCTCCAAGACCCCATTGCCAGGCAGACTAGGGTAACCCCCAAAATGGCTGCCAAGTTTTACAAGAGCCTTTTTGGCAGAGATGTGGTAAGGCCTAAGGGCCCCTCCTGAGGTTCTGAGGAGAAAGCACAGGAACATGACTCTAAGGAAGGGAGGGGGACTGAAAGAAATTGGCCTGAACAAACCCATCTTGTATAGTGGAGCTCACCAAGATTTTTCTGCCTGGTTGAGCAGTGTCAAACTCTACCTTGCTACAAACAACCATGTATACTATGAGGATCAGTCCAAGATCATGTTTTCCCTTTCCTACATGGGAAGTGGCTCAGCCCATGCCTTTGCTGAGGCCTACATCAATGAAAACACCACTGCACTTGGAGACCTCAGAATCTTCAACAGCTGGGACAAGTTTGTCACCAAACTCAAAGAAACCTTCCAAGTAGGAGATGCCAAGTCTACCACCCTGATCTAGCTCTCTGCTATCTGCCAAGGAGACTGCTCCCTAGACAAGTACATTGCTGACTTCTGCAACTGCCTCAATAAAGCCTGGAATATCTACCGAAGACTCAACTGTGGCAGTTTTCTTTGGGATAGGCCTTAATGAGGAAATAAATAGATGGATCCTCATGGGAGGCCCCAAGCTTGACACAGTCAAGGACTGGATCTGTCAAGTGACAGTGGCTCATGCAGTGATGGCTACACTCAAGGTTTTCTCTGGAAAGGTGACCTATCAGGATTGGTCCTACTTGTGGAAGCAGGAACAGTCTTCTCATGGATCAAAACCCTCTTCATCTCTGAAGATCCCATATCAAGACCCTTATGCCATGGATGTTGATTGGAAGTCCAAGGTCTGATCACAGAGCAAAGCTCCTACCTGTTATGGATGCAGTAAGACCAGGCACATAAAAGCTAAGTGCCCCTCATCCACAACAAACAGTAGGTCTTCCTCAGCCCAGAAATTCCATACTCAAATCCTGGCTATGCTCAAGGAACTTGACAAAATCTCCAAGGAAGAAGAAGGTGGAGAACCAGAAGACAAAGACAATGAGGAGAATGATGAACCCACAGACAACAGAGGACCAAAAGGAAACCTGGATTTTTGAAAGGCTCTCCTGGTGTAGCATCAGGAAGAGAGCCTATAGTATTGCAAAAAATAGAGGTTAAGATAGGAACTGAGAAAGTGTATGATTATGAACAAGATATGTCAATCACTTCTATTGCTGGTTTCACTTACCTCATTGATCATGAAAGTACTACTGTCTGAACCATCCTCAACTTGGGCACTGAGACAAATATCATCAATCTGGCAGTAGTGCAAAAGTACAATATCCCAATGCACAAAATTGCAAGACCATGGGAGTCTAGAAGCTACAAAGGCAGAACTGGAGACTGGGTAACCCACATCACTTCCTTCAGAGCCAAGATCTAGGGAAAAACCATGTGTATCTGCACATACATCCTCAGACTTGGAAACTGGGAGTCTCTCCTTCTTGGAATACCACAGCTGAAGGAACACAACCCCATAATCAGCTGGACCTCCAGAAAGCTGATCAGCTGGGGGGAACTTGACCATGGTCTGGACAAGAAAAACCACATTCATGGAACAGACTTCACCTGGACTGTAAAAATCAGTCAAACATCCATTTCCATGAAGCTCAAAGCCTTGCACATACAAGCAGAGGTTGAGCTACCTCCAGAATATCAGGAGTTCTCTGTAGTCTTCTCTGAAGAAGAAACCCACACTGAGGCTTCCAACCAAAGAAAGGAGCTATCTACCCCCTCTCCCTTGGTGAACTCAAGGCCCTTGATGAGTTCATTGATGAGAACCTCAAGTGTGGAAAGATATGCCCCTTGACATCTTCGCAAGCTGCCCCTGTGTTTTTTGTAGGAAAAAAAGATGGGAAAAGAAGACTCATTCAAGATTACTGGTGTGAGTCAAAGTGTGGTTCAGTGGTGAAAACCAACCAAAAC